TCCTGTCTCTGTTCATTAGCCCCCTTCCCCCGCCCTGGGAACCACATCTTGCTCATCCCCTGGGCAGGGGAGGGCCCAGACTGCAAAGCTGAGATCCAGATGGGAACTCCCACAGTGCTCAGGCACGGCTGGATCCAGCCCCAGGTCAGGGGCCTATCCTGGCTGTCAGCTCCAGCACAGCCCGGCTCCACCGGCTCAAGTTTCCCTACTCTGGGAGCTCGTTGCTGGATCCTTCTTTTGCCGCTGCCTCTCTGAACAGCCGGGAAGATTTCAGGGCTAACGAGAGCAAGTTGTGCAATAAAGACCGCACTGGGGTTTGACACATCATGTGTCTTCACGTCTCTGCTGAGATGCAGCCGCTTCTGGAGTGGAGTCTGGTGTGTGTTGAACAGCACACGGCTGATGGAGCCAGGGAGCGAAGGAGCTTTTGCAGATTTAAAACAGCAGAGGCAATTCCCCAGCAGGCTGTAGGACAACTGGCCAGACTGAACTGGGAGGTGATGTTGGAGACCTTATCTGTATTCTTATTCCTGAGAGACTGGAACATGCTGAGTGGTTGGGTTTCATCGCCTGCTTAGCTTTTGTGCAGTGCCAGCTTGGAGAAAGGAGCAAAACCCTCCCAGACCCCTTTCTCTGTGTCCCTCTGCGTCCATCCCAGTTCTCTTCAGCTGCAGTGGCGTGCTCCCAAGGCAGCGCAGCTGGAGGGATGATCCCAGGCGTCCTCCCCGTGGGGCTGCTCAGCTCCCAGGGTCTTAGCCCAATCCTCCCATGAACAGAAGCCCCGGGAGCAGATGCGCAGAAATTCGAGCTGTTGATCGCGTTGGTATCAGAACCCACTCTGACTTTTGGTGGAGTCTCCATATGAGTGTAGCCTGCTTGAAAAATGTTATAACCCAAGCTGTTGCTCCAAGTCAGGCTTTTTGGGACCCTCTTTCCTTGCATGCCCAGGCTGCTTCCATTCCTACTCCTCAGGCTTCTGTTGTCAAACTCAGTGCAAGCAAATTAGCCTGCTCCCATCCTGCTGCCTGCTCCCAAGCCATCCTGGCTGCGCACTCCGGGATGCCACATGCTGCCCCTGCGACCTCCGTTCCTCTCGGCAGAGGCAATGCCTAGTGCCAAGCAAGGCAGGACTGAAGGAGAGGAGAACCACCCCCTGAATTCTTGATGTTACTCCTAGAACCTCCCTGCCCAGTTGAAGCTGCTTCAGGTCCCCATGCCTGGCACTAAAACATCAGCACGGATCATCCCGTGAGTTCAAACAAAACCCTGAAGATCCTGACTCAACTGTTGACCGAGTCAAAGGTGGTTGTGGCTGTCCCACAGAGCCCTCAAGCTGGGAGGAGAAGGAGGAAGAAGCACAACGCTTGTAATGGTCTTGCAGGTGAGGAGAAACCTCCTGCCCGGTCCTGCATGGGCCAGGGCTGCCCTGGGATGCTGAGCCATCTCCCTTGGGCTGGTCCTGGGTCCCCAAGCCCAGCAGGACAGTGAGGATGATGTGCTGGCAGCAGCCACGGGACAGAACAGCACTGGTGGGTGTGAGCAAGAGAGGTGCTTGCAAAGCCACCACCTCACAGCCTGGCTACGGACTTCCCAAAACCACAGGGTGTAAGATACAGGGTGATATTTGGTTGTCATCATCACAATAATGTAATACCTACCTCTTAGGCTCCACAGACCTCATTTATGCTGCGTGTTGGTTGTGCCCTTCGCTGAGCTACTTGTCTGACATTTTCTGTGGCCAGGACTATCTCGTGAGTGACCCTAGCATGCCAAACCCAGCGTGCATTAGCCCTGCGTATCTCACGGGCTTTCCAACGGCAAAGCCAGACAGCACAGCTCAGTGCCCATGAGCAACCCTACAATAACAAACCGGCCGCCTCGCTTTGTCCTCCCAGACCTCACCTTTTGCAGCAGCCAAGTAACATCAAAGATAAACAGTAGCTATGAGCAACTCCACGATAACAAGCCAGTACTACAGAAAAGAGTGGAGAGAAATTAGGGAATGCAAGAGGTGGCAGAGAGAGGAAAAAAAAAAAAAATGCAGGAAGGAAAATTAATGATATTGATTCTTCTGAGGACCAGCTGTGGGGTGGTATGGAGGGTGAATCAGATCTGGGTACCTCAGGATACGGTATGTTCTCCACGGTGCACGAAGCTGCTAGCAATGTCTGTGCCTTGGATATGTTTCTACAAGGATCCTGTTAGACTTGTGCCCTCAAATATATTGGAACAATTAGTGGAAAGGCTGAGGACAAAGCCCACAAAGGCCAAATTCAGTCTCCCTGCCTTTTACCTCCTCCTTCCCCACCAGAAGTGGTCACTGGAGTGGTGAAGATGATTATATGGATGGTGCAGCATGGGGGAAGCTGGTCCCCACAGAGCACAGTGTTTTCTGCAGCTGTAAATCAGGCAATTTTCACCAATGTAATTCTTGCTCTGAGGTTCGGGTTTGTTGTTTTTTTTTTTAAAAAAAAAAAAGGAAAAAGCAAAAAGGAAATCACAATCCAAACTCTGCCTTGGCCAAACCTGGCCCTTTTAAGGAAAGGAAATTTCCCAGAGTCACCCTCGACAAACCTGGAGGCCCGATCCTGCTCTCAGGAATGTCAGTGCAAATCCAGAGTGGCTCTGCTGACTGCTGGGGGGTTATAGCAGCCAAACGAGGCTTGAGCCTCGGAGAAAAGCTCCTGGTCTCCCGCCGGGAGATGGAGCAGAGCTCACACCAGAGCAGCCCAAGAGCAAACTCAGGATTCAAAGGCAATAAACAGCAGAAAGATCCAACTCCCAATTTCAAGAATTCATCCTTTTTGCTGAGCCATGTTCTGGAAGCATGAGCCCTATTTTGCTGCAAGCTGTGTGGAATAAAACAGCTGCGTCCTTTGGCTGGATGGCTCTTCCAGGGGTGCCAGATGTTTTGCTTAGGACACGTCAGAAGTGTCTTGTTTGAGTTCAGACTTTCTCTCCTCTCAGGCTGCCCACTTCAGAACCCACTGAAGCTTCAGCAGTTTTGTTTTTTTTTTTTATATCCACCCTCCACCAGCCTTTCCCAGCAATAGGGAGAGCAAATTGGGAAAGGTCTGGTTTCACCCCGGCCCCTGTTTGTATAAATAATCAGCCGGAAGAAAGCTGGACTGATGAACAAAACACTTGTGCTCCTCTTCACTGACATTAAGGGTCTGGATGTAAACCAGTGTGTAAACAAGCTCCTCTGAAGAGGGCATCCCAACACATTTTGGGGTGTCAGGCCCCACAAATGACTGACCGCCAGCAGCCCCTGCAACACGGGAGTTTCAGCTTCCAAACCAACCACAGGGTATTGTGAAAACCTGCCTACGGCTGGGCCACCAGCGAGTGGCAAGGTCCCGAGCCGGACCCCAGCATCCCAGCCCCAAAGCGGGGTGTACGAGGCCGTGCAGCTTTCTGCAGGGCCGGGAAGATGCGCGGCACCCAGGGACAGCACCTCTGGGAGGCAAGGAGAAGGCGAGGCAATGTTTGGAGACGTCCCCAGGGCACAGCGGAGACAGGAGCACAGGCTGGCAGGTCACAGAGGCAAAGCAGGGCCGGGGCGTTCGGGTGCTCTGTGGCCGGTTAAAAGGCTTTACTGTAGGGCCATGTGTCACTCACTGAAAGAGGGGCTTTTTTCAGAGAAGGGAGAAGGAGGGGCCAAGCTGAGGTGGGGGGAAAGAGGAGGAAGAATTTGGGCAAGGAGGAGGGGTGGCTTTCATGGCTCCCGAGCGCCTGCAAAGTGCACAGTGGCCAGGAAGGAGGACCCTGCCCTGCAAACAAGCTGCTTTTGTTGTATCCCGAACGGGCCTAAATTAAGTTTGACAGAAAGAGGGCAGATTCACACACGCTGGGGCCAAACCCCTGGGCTCGGTTATGGCCGGGCAGACCTGGAGAGCTTCGGCGCGGCGGTGCCAGATCTCGCTGGGGCGTGAGGGGAGAGGCGCGAACCTCCACGAGGCAGGAGGCGCCGGGCGGCCGCGAGCGGCCCCGATAATGGTCCTGATGCCTTCGCAAAGCACATCCCTCCCAGGAGCGCCCGGCTCAGTCCAGCTCCACAGCCTGAAGGCCTCCGTCGCTGCGGGACAAGCAGCCGCCAGCCGCCTCCGGAGCGCTCCCTCAGCCAGCTTCGCTCGTCGGGGCGGGCAGAGCCTCCCGCCCCGCTCCCGGGCATCTCCCCAGCCCTGCCACCCACCCTGGCACGCCGTGCCAGCGTGAAAAAACGGCCAGCTTCTAAACAGTTAACGCTGACAAAACCAGACCGCTTGAGTTCCCTCCTTCCCGAATCGCTCCTGGTGTAATTCACCCCACCCCACCCCCCCCCCAAAATGAAATAAAATTATCCTCCTCCTCTGACCTCGTCCGGGTGTCCTCCCTCCCTCCCGTGCTCCCTCTTCCTCCTTCCACCCTTCCCGCGCCCCCACCCTGCGCTGGCACGGCCGGCCGGGAGCACGCGTGCCCGCCGCTCCGCTCGGCGCTGGGAGCTCCCACCACGCTAGCTGCGGCTGCCATGTTGAATTGCAAATCCGACATGATTCGACATATTTTTTTTTTTTCCCCCCTCGGCGGTGCCCGGTGGGGAACTAAAGAAGCGCCCGCGCGACACGCACCCAGCCCTGGGTGGCTCTCGGGGACGTCCCGGGCGGTGGGGCGAGGGCAGGGAGAGAAATCACCCTCCAGTCCTGCTCCAAACACTGCACGTAGTGACCTGCCTATCTGCTATACATCCCTCTCTGTAGGAGACCGATTTTAAAGTCGGATGTTTTAGCACCAAGGGCCGGAGGACTCGACGGGAAGGGGTTTCGGGGAAAAGGCAGGTTACAGCAACAACAAAGCGACTGAGCAACTGGAGGAACAAAACGTTAGTTCAAATCAAAGGCAAAAAAAAAAACCCAACCGCACGAACAAAAATAAAAAATAAAAAAAAAAAAAAAAAAACAAAAAAACCCAAAATTAAGAGTGAGGTTCGATTTCGTACCAAGGCAGCAAGAGAGACGCACCGTGGAAGAGAGTGGTTTTGTTGTTGAGTGGTGGCTGGATTTAGCTCCGCTTATCCGGACAATCATCGGGGAAGGATCCTTTTCCGAGAAAGGCCAGTTTGAGTGAGACAGCTTTTTTTTTTTCCCTTCTCTCGCTCGCTCTCTCCCCTTTCCTTCTCCTCGCAGCTCAACGCCAAGAAATGGGCGGTGCCTGGATGCCAGGCTCCATCCGAACGAGACACCCAAGGCCAACAGAGGCTGGCACAAAGGCGAGCTGGCAGGAATTCCTGCACTCGGAGCCGTGCGCCCGCGGGACGAGCCCGCCACCTCCCAAAAAATCAACCTCCAACACCGCCCGCTCCATAAAGTTGCCCCCGTTGGGCTTGAAAATGCCCCGCCGGGCTCAAGCACAGGGGGGGAGAAAAAAAATAAAAGGGACAAGGGGAGGAAAAAAAGAAAAAGAAGCCACGACCTTCCTTTTCATCGACGCAGGTTAAACAAAAGGCCTGGGGAGGTGGATTATTTTTTTTACCCGCCCCCCCCGGGCTCCTTTTCCCGCCTGCCCGGCCCCCTCCTCCCTCCTCGCGCCCTCCGTCACCGGCTCCCTCGCCCGCCGCCCCAGCGTCCAAGCAGAAATGAGCCCTGGGCTCCCTCCTTCCTGGTTTTAGCACGACAGGAGGCGGCGGGTCCTTGAATAGGAACGCACACACCCAACGCGAGAGGGATCCGATGGGGGGGGGGGGGGTAGGAAAAAAAAAAAAAAAAAAAAGACAAAAAAAAAATATATATATATACAAACAACAACCCACCCGCCATGGAGGAAGGTTGGGAGCTGTCGCCACCAAGGGTGGCGGGTTGGGGGTGGTTTGGTTGCCAGGGGGGTATTTTTGGCCTTTATTTTTCTGCTGCCCTAGCACCTGGGTTGTGCCGATTGTAAAAGGGGAGTCGCGGCGGGTTGGGGAAAGGACCGGAGAGAAGAGGGGGGGAGTGGGGGGGGGGGGGGGGGGGGGGGGGGTTGGCCGGGGTTGGTAGCGCTGCTGGGGAGATGCCAAAAAAACAAAACAAAACACGTTTTCATTTTTGTCTGCACCAGCCTGGGCGCAGGCGAGCGCGGGAGAGAGGGAGGGAGAGGGAGGCGCGCGCCGCCAGAAAGCCGCCGCGCTCAGACGCGGGCCTGCGGCCACGTCCCTCCGCAGCCGCCCCGGCAGCCGCTCCCGCCGCCTCGTCCCCCTCTCCCTGCCCACCCGGCTTCGCCTGCCAAGTCCGAGTTGGCACGGCTCCCCCGGCTGCGCCGAACAAAGCCGTCACCCATCCCCGAGCCGGCGCTGACAGTAAGCAAAGTGACAGGCGCATCTTCCGCATGTTAATCCAAACGGCGAGAAGGCGAGCGAGCGAGCGGCGGGAGGCCCCCCCACTTGCCGTGCACGCACGCACACACCCCCCCCCCCCCTCTCCCCACGCACCCACCCCACCCCCCCCAAACCCCCACCACCACCGGCCTGCGCACCCCACCCTTGGCACCCGCCGGCCTCGTGCGGGGATGGCGAGGCCCCCGCCGGCGGGAGCACCGAAGCCTCCCCGTTGGCGAGGTTTAAATCGAGCCGAAGCCCCGCTCGGCGGGCAAACGAGGCCACTCGGCATCTGCTGTACCTGTTCCCGCTGCCTTCATCTCGCCTTGGAACCGTGACAAGAGCGCACTCGCCTCTGGTGGGCTCTCAAAGCCGCGGGTCTGTAACCCTTTGCAGGAAGTTGGCACCGATCCCAGGTAGGACTTTACTCCCCGGCTCTCGCTCTCTCCCCCCCCCACCTCCGCCTCCCGCTCCCTCCCCTCCGCTCCCCCACCCATCCTGTCCCTTGGGCCCCTCTCGCGTCCCCCCAAAACACCACCCGCTCCCCCCTCCGCCGCTCGCCCGCCTCGTCGGCCGGGGGGCAACGCCGGGGGCGGCCGACCGCTGCTGGGTGCCCGCCGAGCCCCGCGCGCCCGCCGCTCTTGCACACATACCCTTTAAGGATGACCTGGGCAAGACAGAGAACAACAACTTCCTGCTCCGGCTCCCTAAAACGCCTGTTTCCACGCAGGGGTTAGGCGGCGCGGCGAGACGGGGGGAGCTGGGAGGAGGTTTGGGGGTTTGTCGTCATTGAACCATGCTCTTTTTTTTTTTTTTTTCTTTTTTTTTTTTGCCTTTTTTTTTTTTTTGCCTTTTTTTCTCTTTTTTTCCTGCCTTTTTTCTTGTTTTTTGCCTTGTTTCCTTTTTTTTCTCCCCTTTTTTTTTTTTTTTTTTTTTTTTTTTTGGAAACATATATTTTCACCCGGCAGCCCAAACCTCAACGCGAAGGGAAAGCGGGGGGGAAGAGAAATCAAATGGGAAGAGAATAGCTCCAAGTCGGCAGGACAATGCACGGGAAACGGGGAGATTAGCGTAGCTCTCGAAATCCATCGCGCCCGCCCCGTTTCTGAACCGTTCGCCCCCGCGCCTCGTCTTTTTTAATTCTCCCAGCTCCTGAATTATTCCAGTCCACGAGCGGGAGGGGAGCGCACAGTCCGGAGTCCCTCGGAGCTGCCAAGAGCATTGCAACAGGAAAGAAAGAAAGCGAGAGAGGGAGAGCCAGGCAGAGCCCTCACAATCGAGCAGCGAGAAGAGCAAGGAGAAATTAACATCCAATTAGTGCCGTGTTTAACGAGGGAGACAGAGGCGGCTGTTGTTTTATTGCCCTGTTCTTTTCAGGCGCATCTGACAGGCAGCGGGGAAGGCACCCCTGCTCCAAGTGACGTCATCATATTTTATTTTTTAATTATTTTTCTTTCCCCCCCTTTTTCCCCCCCCGTCTTTCCTCCTCCAAGTTTCGCAGAGATGGCCTCGGCAACTCGGCCAGGGAAATTCAGGACTTTCTCGCATTCGAGCCGCCGGCTCCCCCCTCCGCCTCCAGCCTCCTTCCCCCCTCCCCGTCCACCGACACCAACCCCGGAAAAACAAACGCACCAACCCACCCCACAGTCTTTGTTCTTCCAAAAAAAAAAAAAAATATATATATATATATAAAAATAAAAAATAAACGTTGGTATCAGAGCCGGAGGGAGCCCGGAGGAGGTTTCTCCGCGTGCGCGTCCGAGTGCGTGCGTGTGTCTGTCCCCTCTCCTGTCCCTCTCCCCAGACGGCTTGCTCGCCTTGTAAAACTTTGCGGCATGTGACGCTGCTCCGGCCTCCTCTGGCAGCCTGACAAGAGCCGCGCCGCCCGGCCGCAGAGCGCAGGCGGCTTTTAAGGGAGAAACTCCATTCCTAAAGATTAGAGAATTAACACGTTTTTCAGCAAGGGACGGCGCCTCGCACAGCGGCCGCCGCGGCGGCCACGCGGATCCTCGCCATGCCGGCCCGCCCGTCGGGTCATAGCAGGGGGGGAGAGAAGCCGAATCAAAAATCGGAGAGACTTTTCCCCCCTTCCCGGCTCGCCGGGCCTCCTGCTTCTCCCCTGGGACGGGGCGGGGGGGCCCGGCGCCATGCGAGCACCGAGGGAGGCGTGCGGGGGCCAAGCGGCCGCAGGGAAAGGGATCTGTGCCCTGTGCCGCTGCCTCTTTCCCGCATCGGGATAAAACACCACCGACACCCCCCCACCCACCCCGAGAGCACTGCCATCCCAGGAGGGGATGGGGGGCAGCTCAGCTTGGGGGGGATCTGAGGGAGTTTCCCCCCCCTCCCAAAAAAAGTGGAAAGCAGCTTCCCCACGCTCTTCCCCTCCTCTTACAAGCCGCCAGCGACGAAGCTGCCACCGCCAGCGTGGCAGGTCAGGCCACCGCGCCGAGCCTTCCCGCCGGCCCCTCGGTGGCCTTTTCTCCTCGTTTCCAGCCGGGATCGCCCTTGTTCGGAGGGGAGGGATCCAGCAGGACCCGGCTCCTCTCTAATTTCCCTTTCGGGTCAAGGGCATCCCCGGGGACGGGGCCACCCCGCTCCCACCGAGGACGGGGCCGTGCGAAGACGGGGGACGGGTCCAGGGCCGCCGAGTCGCCGGTGCCTGGGGCCGGTCCAAGTCCCCACCCTGAGCTTTTCCTGGCACCAGCCGGTCCCAATTCCCCAGCAGCAGGGTCTCCTCCATGAGGGTTATTCTTTTATATATATATATATATTTTTTTTTTATTTGTTTTAATAATTATTTGCCAACGTGGAGCTCGGCGCTGTGGGAGCACAAACAACCTTATCGAGGGCAGCTGCACTGCAGGGGCACTTCCTCATGTGCAGCCGCAAGACGGGGCCCCTCCATCGCTGGCAAGGGCTGGCGGGGGGGTCCGGCAGCCCCTGGCCTTCCCTCTGACCAGACACCAGGGTGATGGGCGCCGTGAAGCCATTGGGAGAGGCCTGCTCGGCTGCTTTCCTCCCGGCTCTGCAGCGGGGAGAGCAGCACGGCCGGGTGGGGGGTTTGGTTTTAACTGAAGGGTCTTTAGCAGGGCGACTCTGCCGGGGGGGGGCGGAAAGGGAAGGGCGATGCGATCAGACCGAGCTCAGCTGCACTTTCCCTGGGCACGAGGGCTTCACCAGCGCCCCACCGCTCCCCAAATCCTGCCGGTCCCAAGCGCCCGGGCCCTGCGGAGAGCCAGGGCAGCCTTGACCTGAGTTTCCCTCTCCCGGCTGCGGTCGTTGCCTCCCTTCTCCCCCCGGCAGCTGGGAGCAGATGAGGCCAAAGTCCCGGCAATCTCTGTTTTCCACTGAGGGCCGATAAACCGCACGGGCACAGAACGGCGATGATCTCCACCCATCCCTGTTTCACGCAGGACAGAGTCAATATTTAAACTCCAGTTTTGTTTCCTGAGCAGATAAGGGAGCGCTGGGACTGTGTGTGGGAGAAATCCCCGGCTCCATCGCAGGCACCGGGCCCAAACCTCCCCCGACACCCGTTCATTTGTTCTCCCGACTGCAGGTTTCAGCCCAGATCTTCTCTCCCGTGGGAGTGGGGCCCCGGCCTCATCACCTGAGCTACGTGAGCCCCAGCTGTGGGACGGGCACCCACGGACGGGGCAGCAATTTAAGGGATGGGGGTGGCCAGCCAAGGGGTTGGGTTCCTTGTCTGCTCCTGCTGCAGCCACTGTTCCCATGGTGGGACACCTCAAATGGAGCACGGGACAAGAACGAACCAGGGTTAAAAACCTGGGAGGAGATAAGGAAATATTTAATCACCCTACGAATGGCAGCCCCCGCTTTAAGGTGAGGTCACGTACTGAAAGCTTTGAAACCTGGTTTTCATTTAAATTGACCAAAAAACTACATTCAAGTGTTTTGTTTTCAGCAAAGCTTGTGGGTCCCAGTGAACTGGGCAGAAATGGCTGGCAGGATGCTTGCTCTGGTGCAGACTGAGGTAAATTCCTCAAAGGAAAATAAATAGCAGTTTTTATTACAGTGGCTGCAGCTAGGCTGTGCACAGGGTGTAGGAAGTTTTCCCAGGCATGTGACCAGCAGAAGGTGGCCTTAATTTTGAGGGTAAAGGTTCCTGAGCAGGCGTTGTGTGATCTGGGAGACACAGTGCCCGCTGCTGGCGTAGGCAAGAAACCAGCTGATGCGGTAAAAGGCCGGTGGGGAAGGATCCTGCGAGCTGTGCGGGGGGAGGTTGGAGTGGCTGAGCCCACCTGATGGGTCCAACAGCAGCCAAGGATCCCCATCATCCTTTCCAGAAGAGCTCAGGATCAATTTTACCTCCAAATACCTACTTTCATGTCTATTGTTTCAAGCAGCCAAGCCCACTGCTGCCTCCACCCTCACTCCAGGTGCACCCACTGCTCAGTCTAAACCTGCCGACCTTCCATGGAGGTGAGGATCAGAGAGAAGCTGAGTTTGCCACACCTGGTTTAGCCCCTGCTTTGGGGAAGAAACCAAAGGAAGTGCTTGTCTCAAACTGAAATCTTCCCTGAGTGAGGGAGCCTGTTACGCAGAAAAAAAATTAACTTTTTAAAAAAAGAAACGCCCAAGAGTTGTCTTATAGCTGTATTTTGGAGCACAGTTAAATCCTCTGAAATAATCTCTGATGTTAGGGAACGGGGCCATGCATTATTTAACTTCTGATACTGTAACATAAACTGTACAGAAGGAAGGGACGACAAACAGGACTGACTTCACGACACCGAAGGGAGCTGGGTGGGGACTGCTGGTCCCAGCATGTACTAACGCTGTCCTGCACGCCCTGGCTGGGAGGTGTGGATCAAACCCGTCTGATGGAGGGAAATCCCCTGTGCGATGGCAGGTTGGGGTCCCCACAGGACTAGGATGAGCTGCGAGCCCTGTTGCTGCTGCAGCAGCACGCGGAAACCCGCTCAAGGACCCCAGAACCTCTTCCCAGGGAGTGCACCAACACCTCTGTGCAAAAGACTGCTTTGTAGGGGAACCAAAACAGGGGGAAAATCTGCCTGGCTGCCGTGACAGCACAGACTGGTGCAAAAAAAAAAAACCCTCTCTTGTCCGGGGAGCTGAGGATAAATCCTGCCCGGCTGCCACCAGTGAGCTCCGCTACGCAAGAGCCAGCCACGCTCCTGTGTGCACCAGGAGCCCTTGCCGCCGACCCCTCGCAAGCCTCTGGCCAGCTTTTTCCTTCATTCCAGGCAGCAGCGGACCCAGTGCCCCTCCTGCAAGGCAAACCCTTCTGTGTGTAGCCCTCCGCAGGACACGCGGCCCTGTGCCCACCAGCGAAGCGGTGACGCTCGGGTTCGGCCGGAGCCCGGCGGGGCGCGTGGTCCTGCCAGCTGGGAGATGCTCACGCAGTGGCTGTGCTGGCACAGAGACACGCTGCACCCCAGCGTGGGCCAGTCCACGGAGAGACGCGTCCAGGCTGCCGGCGCAGGTTACACCCAGCAGCTCTGTTGGCTGTAGCCTAAATACAGCCCGTCCCGCTGCAAAACTCCTTCCCAAAGCAGTTACCACCTGCAGCTCACACCCCTCCCCGGGTGCGCTCCCCCAGCCCCAGCACTGCCCTCGAGCTCAGCTGTACCCGTCTCTTTGGGGCTGTGTTGTTCTTTGTAGTGGGACTCTTGTTCCCCTTTTCTGTTCTGATACTGTAATTTCCCTTTCACGCCCATGGGAGGTGGTGTGCTCTCTAGTGTTCAGCTACCCTCAAAACCTTAAATATGGGTCGATCTCGCCCAGGATGAGCTACCTGCCACACAAATATTTGCCCTCTCTAAAAGAGCTGAGGCAGGAGGCTGCTCACTCGGTGCAGCTTTACCAGCAAAGCGACCTTGGATCTCTTGCTGCTTCTCAGCTCTAGCAGAACGAAGCCGTCGTTTGTCCCTGCACCTTGGGGCTGGTTCATTTAGTACCTGGGCATTTTCTGGACTTTCCCAGTGACTCCAGAGCTACAGCCTGGACCAATGAGACAAGGTAACACCCTTCTGCTCTCTCTGCTACGTGTCCCGGCCGCGACAGCCATGAGGATGGAGCTTTGGTCCAGCTGGAGCCTGAAGCCAGATCTCCAATAGCCAACTTGTTGCTGGCCTTGCTGGAGAGGAGGTGTCTTGTTCTGGCACCACGGACTTCAGATTGAAAAGAAAAAATACACATATATCAAAACAAGCTTAGGGTTTCTTGAGGAGTCCAAGTTCATCACCTCTCCCTGCCGAGGAGTCAGTCGATGGGGAAGAAGGCGGCTGGCATGGGCGCTCTGCGGAAGAGCAGGCTGGAGCCACGGAACAGCTGCCCCTGAGGAGGAGAGAGAGCACAGAGGGTCAGGGCAGCCGTGCTGAGACCCAGCCAGGAAACTCCAGCTGGTTTAGCAGGGACCGACTTGTGCCCACTGCAAGGCCCGAGCACCCGGGGTTGCTGCAGAGGAGAAAGTGGGGTTTCAGCCCTGAGGGTGCTGGAGTCGGGCATTTTCCCCAGGGGGGACCGATGGAGACAGGCAGAGCCACCTCGCTTTGCTGTGTGCAATGCATTGGCTACAAGTTTGTAGGCTGCAAGCTCGGGGCATGTAACGGGCAGAACCAGTACTGCCATGCCTGGTACCAGTGCCAGAACTGGAAGGATGGAAACAGGTTATGGAGCATGTCAAGGATGTGGCACTGGAGACCTCGGGAAGGAGCAGAGGGAGCCCAAAGCCCCGCACGTGCCCTGCTCCCTCACCTGAGCACTGAGGTACCTCCAGCAATGGATCCAGGATGTAAATGCAGGAGCGTAGGGAGGGAGGCCGGCACGCAACCTGCATGGCAACAAGAAAGAGCTGAGACGGTCTGTACAGATGTCACATTATCCAGACAGGTAACACAAGAGCAGCAATAAGTGTAAGCGAGGACACAGAAACAGTGTCCGCACCGGGCTGAAGGCCAAATGACCAGCTCGTTACTTACAATGCAATAGATCATGTAATTTAATTACCCCTGGCATGTACAAGCAAGGAGTGTTACCTGGATACGTTAAGAGTTCAGGGCTATACGTTGTATCTACACCTTCAAGAGCCAACAGATACCAATAAAACACTACACCAGCGGCTTGGATCCCATCCCCTCCCCATGAGCATGAACACAGAAGACTTCTTGCAGCAGTGGGACTGGAAAGCAAGCTTGGTCCTACTCCCGTCTGCACCCATCGCTGCATTAAGAGCTTTGCTTTCCCTCGTGCCACTCCCTGGAAGCAGCACGGTCCCTTTGATCCCTTCTGCCTCTGGTCTAGTTCAGATCGGACCACACCACCATGATGCTCCCTATTTCTCTCCACTTGAGCTTTTACGCCGCTCTTGTCTGTGCCCTCTGATCTAAAATTATAAGCAACCTGGGACAGGAAACGAGCCAGCTCCGTGAGGTGCCATATAGTTTACAGTTCTGTATGAAAGCTTTACGATCGTTAGCGGAGGATTCGGACAACAAGGGGCTGGAAGAAAGGAATGGAAAGCCTTAGATCTCAGTGTGACGGACATACCCACAGTTGTTCACTGCCATGAGATCTCCCACGAGAAGGAACGGGTACGTCAGCATGCTCACAGCGATCTGAAAGCACAGACAACCGGTAGTCTCTCTAACGTTTACCACGTCAAAAAAGCTATTTCCAGCTTTTGCATATTAGCAAAGTTATCCTTGTCTCAGGATATAAAGTTCAGACCAGCCTTTGCCCCCAGACCACGAGCTCTTAGCCCACAGACAGCAGGAAAAAGAGAAATGACATGACGGTTGCCTACATACCCCCATCACAAATTTTGTGTAGCTCCGGATCACCGATGCCTGGCTGAACTGGAAAGAGAAAGCAAAGGGATTATGGAGGAGGCGGATGACACTGGGCTGTCACTGTCATCACTCGCCATCCCTCTGAGCCTGAGACGACGGGTGTGGGGCAGGGGAAGAAAGCAAAAAGAAACGGCAGGCACACCGCATCCCAGCTGAGAGTCAGGGAAGACATTTGCTATCAAACCTGATCCCCTGAACTGCAGCTGCAGCACAGCCCTGAGCAGACATTGCATCTTCAGCACCTTTACAGTGTTCAGCTCAAGCCCGGTGTCTGTATTAATTTAGCCATTAACCTCCCATTAACTCTTCACAGCTGCAGGTGCTTGGTACAGGCCCCCCCAAACCCTCCATCGGGCGCTTCCACTCACGTTATCGTCCACCGCGTAGGTGTTGATGAAGTGAGCCAAGAGGTTGCAGCACCAGAGGAAGATGACATCCCCCAGGACGTGAGGGACCAAACCGCTGCAATGGCAAAAAGAGGGGCGTGAGGTACAGAAGGGTCCCGGTGCTGCTTTCGGAGGTGCCCAGCCCTCCCTCCCCTCCACCAGAGTAAAGGAACCCCACTCCCCTGACGTGCACCTTTACTTTGGGATGAATTGAAAGGGAGAAGGGGTGATTTCAGGGAAAAGCTCTCCCAGCCTTCAAACATGGTCCTACACGTGCTGCCAGCTGCTCCGGCCAGGGGATTATCTTGCGTAGGAAGTTTGGGATCTGTGATTTGGGTACGACTCAGACAAGTTCCCTGGTTCTACCCCAAAACCCTTCTGGGCCCAACTCCTGCTCTGAAACCCAAGCGAGACACCGATGAAGTGGTTTCCATCACGCTCATTTTGCAGATGCTCTTCCGGAGGCAGAATGAGAAGTGCATCTCTTTGTGGAATCTCCCTCCTTTTAGAAATTCAAATGAGGGGGGATGTTCCTGCAGAACCTGCTCCACTGCAAAGCGGGATTAACTGGGGGCAGCACTCCAGTCCCTCTGATTTCTCCCAGTCCCTGCTGCCACCTGGGAGCACAGCTGCTTTGGTTTATGCTTCTCATCAACACATGGGCCAGAGCTCCCAGCATAACGAGCACCCCCAGCTTCTGCAGCTAATGGCACTAAAACATTAACAAAACATTTCAGAAGGCTTCTCTGGTTTGTCAGCACTTCAGCAGCATCTGTTGCACCGCTGCAGGCATCAAGTGCAGGGCTTCCTGCTTTGGCCGTGCGGTTGTTCCACTGCAAAAGGATCCAGGCATGTGTTAAACCTGTGTTTCACCAGATGTGTTCACACAGTTCTTCCGAAAATGAGTCTGGTGAGAGCCACACGAGTGTTTGCTGGGCTAGAAAGAGCCACTCTGCATGCTCTGATCCAGGCTGCTTCACTTGCTTGGTGATAGGGTTTATGCTTTTTGGAGACAACCTGTGTATTGTCAAGGCTCCAGCAGCTCTGGAGATGCAGCCGAGGTCTCGGGGCGCAGCAGAAGTCTTTGATAGAAGATCCACTGGCTTAGAAGATGTGGTACATGACAGCAACAGACAGGACAAAGAAATCAAAGCTTTCTGGTCGCAAAGAGATGGTCTGCTCTCCATTTAGCATTCAGCACTTGTGAAAAAATCCTTTCTCTAACTCAAAGTCGAGTCTGAAGCAGACTTCTGAGCTGCTGCAGATATAACAGGGTCTTAATAAAGTCCAGAAACAGAAGGCTGGTCCAGGACTGGGCCACGGCAGCCATGTAAGTAAAACCTCCCCCATCTGTTGATAGAGAATCGGATCATTTGTTCCATTTGTAGTAAAAATCCCATCCCTCTCTTTCCTCCGTCATCAAAGTAACAACAAATGCTGGGCCCGAGTTTATGGGATGACTGGAGACCAGGGGTCCGAGACAGCTGCAGAACGGGACTTAAATAACCAAATTCATTTGTGATACGACTCTCGCGCCTGGCGAGATGTCCAAGATCTGGACTAGGAATATTTTTAGAAGAGAAGTCATTAAAAGTCGGAACAGCAGCGGGCAGATGGTGAAGCCTGTGAGGTAAGATGATGTGACCCAGCAGGAGAAACCCCAGTGCTGAGGGGAGAGAGCCATCTTTGAGCTGACCACGTGCAGCAGTTTCGGAGCCCAGGGAAGATCTTCCAGGCCTGCTGGCGGGCAGGAGACTGCTGCAGACATGAAGGGAAGCAAGGTAAGTCCATCCCCTGAAAAGTCTTTATCTCTAGCCAGGCACGCATCCAGAGCAATCATGCTGCTGTTATTGCTGCGTAGAGGTTATAAGACCACGAGAAATAAGTGCACCACAATGATTTTAAGGGAGTGGATGTGTTTGGATTGCGTTAGGAGGGCTGAGAGCAGAAAAGCAGCAGTTTGGTCCTACAGATGCAGTTTGTGTTCCCCTCACAGCAGTGTGATTTCCTAGCGGGGTTGTAGAACACGTATAACTTCAGAGCCCTCCTGAGACATTTTGGGTTGTGTTAAATCCTTTCCTGTGAACTATTAACTTTAATTAGGCTACCAACAGTGTTTATTTTATGTGGATGGAACGGAATGCAGCGGCTCCCTTCACGTTATTTCCTTGGGAGGTGGAGAAGAGGGAGGGTGGCTGGGCAGCACGCTCTGGCCATGCCCCACGCACGGGGAACATCCCAGAGGAACCTGTATTTAATGGATGAGATTTGGGGCTGCCCAGAGTAGCTCTGGGCTGCAAAAGGCAGATGCAGTGGCACTTGACTGCTGGGGTCTCTGCAGACCCCTGGCCCTTTCCCCTTGGGGAAGGACAGAGTGAGACCCTCTGCGACTGCCTGCCTCTTCCTCATGCATTCATGTTGCATGTGGAGGACTAGATTTTGTGATTGCAGAGCCAAAGGCATCAGGCCTGAAATGCCACCCCCCCCCCCACCCTGAAATTTCAGAGCTGCCTTTACTACTATTGACATAATGGAGTGAGTTGTCTCCCCACTGAGAGTGGAGGCAGCAGGTGGTTCTGCTTTTATATAGACGGGGGAAAAAGGCAAGGCAGGTTAACTAAGGGTTCAAGCAAAAAAGTGCCTGCCAGGCTCCCACTTCAGCAATGCCATCAATTCACCACGCTTCGTGAGTGGCTGGAAGCACATTTCAGCTCCTTCTGGTCCAGGCAGCCACGCCGCTGAGCTGGGCAGCACCACGCTCCCGCCGTACAGGCAAACCTGCTGCCAGCACAAACCACCCGCTCATTACAAGCACCCACAGTGCTCTTCAGAGGAATGTGCTTCTTATCCAGGCCCTGGCTTTTATTTCAACAAGGGGTCTCATTGTTGCACTTGATCTTGGTGCCTGTTGCACAAACAAATGCTTTAAATGGCCCTTCACTGAAACACAAAGAAATATCAAGGGAAAAAGAAAGGTAAGAAAAAACAGAGGGTTTTCTCTGGGCTCTGAAGGTTTGATTGAAGATAAGATCTGGGGCGAACTTAATGGTCAAACTGGAGCTCTGTCAAAGGCACAGATTTAATCTGTGCTCATGGGAGTGATGTGAGTGTCCCATGGTCAGACAAGGTTTCAGATGGGGGGAGCTCAGCGTGACTCTACCTGAGGTTGGCAGAGCAGCCAGGAAAGCCATCGGCACCTTTGGGCTATGGGAGAAAGTATTTAAACAATAACTCACGTACACAAAGAATCCCAGGATCCCTTCTTCCTTAAATATCCTGCCAATGGCACTGAACACACCACTGCCAAGACAGAATAAGAGCCATAAGCATGCAGGGGTTGCTCTCTGTCCCACGCAGCTTCGCATGCACTCTGCAGCCACCAGCCACAGCTGTGTCCCCCCTTCAGGCCACCACACCAGCAACACAGCTGGAGCTCCTTCTCCTCAGCCCGTTAAGGAGCGTCGTGTCCGCACTCTTGCAGTAACGCCTGGGACAACACTCAATCAACTGCTTCAACGCTGAAGCTAGAAGGGTTCTGCTTGGTTTTGTGTGAGTGGATACACGTGCTGCAGCCACAGCACATAGCATGTTTTGATTAGGCTGATTCTCAGCCCAAGAACCGTGTCCTGCCCCTGGGAACTCATGCTGGCAGCCGTGGGTTAGCTGCAGTCGTGTTTAATGTGCTTTCACAGGGCTGCAAGTGTAGTCTTGCCCTGCAGAGAGGCAGGTATTACTGAAAAAGGCTTGGAAAAATCGTGCAGACTAGCAGGGCTGCAGGAACCCTTTGTATTACCTACTTTGCATCCCTGCTGACTTCCCTTTCTATTAACACCTAAAGCAAAAAGGCAAGAGACTCACTGTGTGACCAGCAAGGTGCATTACAGCCACCAAAATCCCTGCAGGCACAAGCTTGGAACAGGCACACTGGGGATAGAACCCAACATTCCCTGTCCTCTCACCTCACGGCTGCCCACCCTCTAACCACAGCTCAGATTCATTTTTTGGTCTCCCAGACCTCCTGGGTTGCCATATCCCCCATTGCATGGGACGTCTGGCCCTGCTGACTCCTGGACTCGTGCATCTGTGTGCCCAAACCCTTCAGAGCTGCAGCCACTCACCTGTATTTGACTTCCCGGCCTACGAACTGGACCATGCAGCGCATAGAGATCACTAGGAGGAAAGAAACACGGGGCTGACAAACAAATCCAGTTTGGGTTGCAATGGACGTGAAGGAAAATGCAACTTGACCCTTCTGTCCTCCCTTCCCTCGACTCACATCACCTCCAGCTCCTCTCAGTGGTCCTCATCCCTGCAAGACTCACTAGAAAACAGGGCCCTCCCCCAGCCTGTAAGTGATGGGAAGGATTTCTGACCCCAATGGGATCTCTAGGACAAGCTCTTGGATGAATGAGAGGAGAGCACCTCGCCGCTCGGCTGGGTTACTCCCTGAAGGCCAAGCCAAGCATCAGCCTCCCTGAGCAACCGCTCAGACCTGCATCTGCTCTGCAGTTTCATACAAAGCCGTTTCTGGTAGAGAAGCACATCAAGTAAATGGGGTTTTGGGGCGATCCTCTGGCTGGAGAGGGCTGCCAGGCAGAGGGACAGGACTCACCGTGCAGTGGATGTGAGACAACCCGGGACACACACTGCATCATCATCTCATGAGATGTCTGGGAAGGGAAGAAAAGAAACCACACCTGTATGAAAAGCTGCACTGCTCCACCTGCACAGATCAGGCCCTTTCCCTTAGTGGAACAGAACACATTTTGGGTGCCTTTTTTGATATCTGTTGCCTACAGTAAACCTCTATTCCTATGAAACATCTCATAGCTGGACACAGGGTGGTACTAAATACCACGGCCCTTGTACCCAGAGTTTCCCTCCACGCAATTTCACCTGCAGTCCACAGTTTAAGCTTCCTTTGCTCTCCAGGGACATTCCCAACACAATCTCCCCTATCACTCATTAATGTGCAATACCCACTTCTCACCTCTTTCACCACTTTCCTAAGGGAGGTCTTCACATCATCCTTGTTAGAAACATGCTCCATGTCCTCCAGTGGAAAGGCCTGAGCAGGGAGAGAAGAAACCATGTGGTCAAAACTGATGGGAGATGCTGACCCAGAAACCCTCGATGTCTGAGGACAGAAGGAAACCATGAGCAGTTGTGTTCTATGTGGAAGGTGAGGAAAAACAGGCAGAAAGGAACATAGGAGAAGGAAGAAAGGAAAGTAAAGCAGGAGAAGAGATGGGTTGTGAAAGTGCTTACAAAAGATAAAAGGCAAGTGATGGTTCAAATTAAATTAAAATTGTTTAAAAAATAAGTTTTAGGGATATGGGCACTGTTCTCCTGTCCTGGACTATTCAGAGCGTGTTTTATTCCTCCACGTGCAGTCGTGGCTGGGTGCAGGCACACGCAGGCTCCCTGGCCCTGCTGCAGTAGCACCAGCCAACCCAGCAAACTGATTTATGGAGAGAGAAGCCGACCTTTACCTTCTTCACGCTCCCCCTGGTGATGGTTGATAAAGTGCTTGAGATGAGGCGAGGAGTAAGCCCGCGGAAGAGGCCTCTTTTCCCATCCACTTCCACAATGTGTCTGGCTGGGTAAGAAAACACCAGGCTGCTGTCAGTCGGGCACATGGAGAGCACCCCAAACACCTCCAGCGTTCAGCTGAAACCTCACCGGAGCTCAGCACGGCACAGCAGCCGCTCTGCGGTCCCACCCCAGGTGATTTGTTAGAACAGTCCTAAATAAATTTCATATAGGACGCAAAGAATCCTTAAGTATTTCCTGTCACATCCGTCTAATCTGGAAGGATAGCTTCAGTACTTTGGGCTATTTTTCATCTTTTGATCGTTTTGCTCATCTGAAATGGCTACAAGGCAATTTGGACTGAGCTAGGGTAGGGAGGGATTGTCTCATCTGTTGTGTGGTGTCACAGGGGTTGGACTCAGGGTTAATATGGATCTCTCAAACCCAGATTCAATTCCTGCCCCACCACCTTCTCCCAGGCAAACTTCCTCAGGTCTCCAGAAAAAAAAAAAAAAAGCCAACAGATCCAATTTCTCCCTGATATAACATGGTGGAATACAACCCACTACATGCTAGTGGGTACCAGCTGCTCCTGCTCCCCATCCTCTGCTGTCCTGAGCAAAGCCAGGCAGGCTCTGCACGTTTCCATCACCCAACACCGTAAATCTATTTGGAAAATGCATCTTCCAAAGGGCAGCACCGGGACTTTTCTAGCCCCGAGTGTTCCTTCATACTGCTTCTGCGCTGGGTCCCCTGGCTCTGCGGGAGCTGCTGTCTGATTTTGGGATCAGCCCAACCCCGCTTTCGGGACTGTGCGCTCCCCTTCCCCTCAGCAAACCCACTGTGAAAGCAACCCTCGAGGTCACAGAGTTTTCACCCGCCTCTTCTGCGCTGCTCCGCCCGCAAAGAGAGGAAAAACAGTATTTTTTTTTTTCCCTCTAAACCTATTACCTCCCCTTTTCTTGGTATTTCTGTCCCTTTAGGGCTCCATCTACACACAAATGAGGAGGGCAGGGGTCAGGTTATTGCAGGGCTGTTTTGCAGCAAAGAATGGTGCTTTGCTACCTCTAACACACACAAAACCCTCCACCAACAAAACTACACCACCTAAATCCCCACCGCTCCCAGCACTGCGGTGCAAACCCAGAGTAACGTGCCAGGGGAAGCGGATGCAGCAGCAACACCGGGGCCCCCCGCCCCCCTTGTCCCAACAGGTAGGTAAACCTGAGGGGGCCTTGCAAGTAGCTGTAGGGTTTTACGTCTCGCTGCAGCCTCCGGATGATCCCAAGGGGGATGCGGGAGTGCTGCTGGGGGTCGGCTCCATCTCCCTGGCAGCTCCCAGCCCCGTTTTTGGGCAGGACCTCGCGCTGGCAGGGAGGGACGTTTGCTCACCGTAGGTGAAGAAGCCGGGCAGGTACAGGACTTTCCTTCCCAGCACATTTCTTCCAACGGTCGGAGGTAGTGGCTCGTGCCCGACCTGCGAGAGAAAACCCCGTGAGCAGGTCCCTGGCCCTGGCCCGGCGTTCCCAAAGCCCCCAGGCCACGATCCCGGGTGTCCGTGTGCTGCCCACGGGCCACGCCCCCACCCCCCCCCGTCACCCTCAGATACATGGGGGTGCCAGGACACAAGCAGTCCCTTTCCCATTATACCAGGCCCCTAAGGTACAGGGGGTCCTCAACCCTCCCATTTTATGGGGGTCCCTATTACAGAGGGGTTCTCATTATATAGGGGTTTCCCATCCCCCCTTATACAGGAGCCCCCACTGCAGAGGGTATCCCCAACTCCCCCTGTTTTTAGAGGTCCCCACTCCTATAGGTTCCCCCACCCCCTGTCACAGAAGGGGGTCCCAGTGCCCTTGCTATAAGGGAGTCCCCAACATATAGGGGTCCTCACCCCTCCATTATACAGGGATTTCCTGTTATATAGGGGGGATCACCACTGTAGGAGGTATCCTACTCCCACTGAATAGGCTTCCCCATTTTATAGCTGCCCTCACCCTCCCAGTTATAGAGGAACCGCCATTATACTGGGTGACCTCATCTGTTAGACAGGGGGGTTCCTGTCGCCTCCTTGCACAGGGGTGTCCCCTCCGTTATAGCGGTGCCCCTCTGTCATAAAGCGGGGAGGGGGGCCTGTATCTATAGTGGTACGCAGCACACAGAGGTCTCTATAGGGGCACTAGATTGGGGTCCCGATTCCCCGTTATACATCCCCCCCTCCCGTACCCCCCCCTCCGCCATCCCACCCCCCACCTCCCCCCCCCTCAACCGCCGGCAGCCCCGGACCTGGACGAGCAGCTTGACGTAGAGCAGCGGGTGACTGGCGGCGGCAAGCCCCGCCCCCAGCACCACGAACAGACCCTCGGCCCCCTCGGCCCGGGACACCCCCGGGGCGGCCGCCGCCGCCCGCCCCGCCACACCGCCAGGGGGCGCCCGCACCGCCGGGGGCAGCGGCGCCGCCGCCGCCGCCATGGGCTTCCCCCCCCCCCGGCGCTCCCGCGCGCCGCCACTGCGCCTGCGCCGCCCCCTCCCCTGTGCATCACCGCGCCGGGCGGAACCATTGCGTGAAGGGCAAAGGGGGGGCGGGTGGAACCATGGCGAGAGGAGGGGGGGGGGGGGATGGAGGCGCGGTGTGAGGGAGGGGACAGGGCGGCCATGGCGGGTGGGTTGAGGGATGCGAGCGGGAAGCGGGGAGGCGGCGAGGCAGTCGGGCTTTGCCTTGCGCTCTGCTTTCCCCCAGGGCTGCCCTCCGAGGGTGGTCTCCAGCGGGACAGGCGCCAGGGGCTCGCTCTCCCCTTCCCTCCGTCCCTCGCAGCCCCTGAGGGGCTCCCCGGGCTCGTGGTGGGGTGCAGCCCACCCCCTTGGCGCCGGTCAGGCCTCGTGCCGAGCGCTGCCGCTCGGTTACGCCGCCGGTTTGAGGCACGCAGCGACACTCACCTCCTCCCCCCCCCCCCCCCCTTAAACTGAGCCAATTCCCAGCGTTTTCTCACAGTTTCTCCAGCTGACAACCTGCTGCGCTTCCTCTTTCAAGGCCAACCCAGAGACAAGCTCTCCTAGCACAGCGAGGGCAGCCGATGGGCTTTGCCTTGTGCAAATCCTTGTCCCCAAACAACATCCTGGGTCCCAGAAACACCTCGAAGTAGAGAGAGGGAGAGAAGAAGGGAGCCATAGCCATCAGCACCCGCCCCTGCAGCTCCTTTACACCCGGGAGCCGGTGTGGCCAGGGCCATGGAGGGAGAGGCCGATAACCAACAGAGAGTGTTGAACCTGGTGTCTGTGTTTGAAGAGTACGGGTAAGGAGGGAGGGTCCTGGGCGCTGTGGGTGCGGTAAGGCTCCACGTGGCGTGGGTTTTGGAAGGAAGAAACCTGCTGTCGAGGTGGTTTGGAGGCTGGGGAGAACCTGACTAGGCGATTTGCTGTTCATCAGCACTGTGGGTCACGGACAAAAATTTGAAAAGCTCAGCGGCATGTGACTGACTTCGCTGGAGGTTTCTGCTCCTGGCTCAGGGTTAGGTCGTTGCATGCTTGTTCACTCAGCACCTCCGCAGTCAGGCTGGCTGGTGAATGCTTTTCCCCTGCTGCTGGGGAAAATGGATTTTGGTTTGCAAATATGGAGGCAAGGGTCTTCACTGGGAATTAACGGCTTGAGCATCTGGGAGGATCCGAGCCTCAGGCACTAGCCACAGACTATCCAGTTGTTTGCAGCGATGTGATTCCTAGGAAAGGGAAGAGAAAGCATCGTGTTAAGGGGGAGAGCAAGTTCCTTTTGGGCTGCGTGGCAGCCCCATAAAACAGCACCTTCACTTGGAGCATGAGCTGGGACCCTCAGACAGTGTGTGCCAGGATTGGAGCGAGGAGTGGAAGCAGTTCTGAGGTTTGGGGTGAGTCGTCATCATGGTCAGTGCCTCAGTTTCCCCATCTGTTGAATTGGCATACCAAATCTTGCCTTTCTTGCTATCAGTGAGGTGATCGCAGTGAGCCTTAATGATACTGGGTGGTTGGGCAGATGAGTTTTGCAGCATTTTCTAAAGTTGGTCGGGCACAGGATTTCCTTCGACTTGAGGAATTTTGCCTGCATCTCTCCGTGCTTTGTCCTGGGCTCTGGGCTCTGGATGGCTCCAGAGCAGCGCGATTGTCCCCATGGTCCCACAGTCGAAATTTGGCCTGTGATGTTGTTGTGTTGGAGCCGTTTGTGGCATTTGATCTGCCTCCATTTCACTGCTGCGGTGTGTTTGTTGTTTTTTGTGAAGCGTGACTTTGATTTAGAGGAAATAAAAGTAACTTACGACTTTCAGAGGAAGCTGGGGGACCTGGACATGAGTTTTGTGGAATAGAAAATGGTTTAGCCTAAGTCAGCACAAATAGAAAGAGAGAAGTTCCTTGCCAGATGTCAGCAATGAGTTTAGACTAGTACAGGTCTGGAAGGCACCCGAAGGGACAGATAAATCCTCTCTGCCACATGAAGGATTATGCTAGCCCCCATGGACAGGAGGGGATGCATGGATAGCTGCAAATGCACTTCTGAGCTCACAGATGCATGCTCATCCTCATGGGGATGGACCCATCATCTGCTTCAGATGAGCGTCTGCCCCTCCAGTTATCTCCTGTCCTCAACTTTGTGGTTTTATGTCCAGTTTCATCCCAGTTTCCCCCTCCTTATCCCACTCCTGTCTGCAGGCCACCGGTGCATATCTTTCCAGTTTCTGCCCAGAGCAATTTACCACAGGAACCAGCTCTCAGAGGACAGACAACTCGCTTGCTGTCATCTTCAAGGCCTGTTGCCCTGTGTGGTTCCTCCCCAATGCCTGCTCTGGACCTGTTTTCCTTGTCTTTGCCGGAAAAAGGAAGAGAGAAAACCACCAAAAAACTACCCCTCTGCAAAACCAACTACACAAGCCCTCCTCTTGGCTATTTGGCTTTTAAAGCCTCATGCCCAAGTCTCCCCACTTTGGCTCCACAGTGGCAGCGGGCAGACAGCCAGAGCTGTGCCAGCACCGCAAAGGGCAGGGATGTGCTTCGGGAAATAAACAGCTGTGGGTGTGGGTGGGATAAACGGCAAAGTTGTGCTTTTCTAGAGCAGGACAGGGACTGACCACATCAGCAGGAGGCACTGGGAGAAGAGAGGCTGGATCCTGCCCCCCTTGGGGGGTGTACGGGCTGTCAGACCCTGGTTTGTATCAGCAGGGCCATAGTGGAGCAAAGCAGCATCAGCACTGGGGAGCTGCTGTGTCTTACTGCCTTCGCTTCAGGACGCTGGGACGGGGAGCCGGGTGGGCTGCACTGTGCTGGGGGAACAGGTGAGCTGATCACTCTGATTTCTCCATGGCAGGACTAGCAAACTTGCCTGGAGGGACAAGCAGGCTCCGCACAGCCACAGTCCTCCTGCAGCCAGCCAGTCCCAGCAGCTTCCAGCATCCCCTCCCAGCCAGAGCCTCTCCCAGATGGCTGCCAGGCACCAAACAGAGCAAGAGAATGATGAGGAGGAGGAGCAGCAGGGTCAGCGGGGGCTCAGCTTCAAATGCCTCCATTCATTCCGACACAAGATCTGTGAGGACAACTGGAGGAGGCAGCAGGACCCCATCCTCGAGTCTGGCAGCAAGGTGAGCTCTGAGATGGCTGAGGCGAGGCTTGTGGGTGCCTGTGCTCAGGGCAGGGAGTTGCGTGGGCTGGATCAGAGCTGAGGTCTCTGCTGGTTCTGAGCAGGTCACAGGGCCATTGTGTGGGGTGACAGAGAAGTGGCCCCTTCCCTGATGCCTCAGGCACAAATTCCCCATGGTCAGATAGATCCAAGCAGACCTTGTCTCTTCCAGCTCTGATGTAACTATGCTGTGGGGGTCAGATGCGCAGGTGGGCCCAGCCAGGTCCATCCCGAGGCATCCTCGGGGCTGTGCCGCCCTTTGCCAGCTGCAGACACGTTTCTGCAGGACTGCATTCAAACCCTACGTGTAATTGTAGACCATGGGGTTAACCCACCCGACTCTGCCCCTCAGGATCACTAGCCCTGTATTGTTCCAGGAGAAACAGGCACAGAGAAAGAGGTGACCCAGGAGGACATGAACCAGACTTCACAACAGCCCCAAAACAGCTTTGTTTTTACCCTTGTTTTCACTGCATGCATTGTAGAGCTCTTTCCGTTGCCCTCACATGAAGCGAGGTCCGGTTTGATTCTGGGCTGTGGTCTGTGAACACTGGGGAACAGAGCTGAATCCCCTCAGGCCGGTGGGAGTCACGTCTCTGCCCATGAGACTGAGGCCTTCTCCCCATGCAGGAACCAGAGGAAAAGAAAATTGCTCTGGAATTGTTGGAGACAGAGCAGGCTTATGTCAACCGCCTCCACCTTCTCGACCAGGTGAGCAGAGGGGCCCACGCAAGTCTGGGAAGCAATAGCCCTGCTGCTGTCTGCCCCCCACCAGCACAGCTCAGCCACCCCACGCTGACAAACTAGGCAGGACCATGGCACAGCTGCACACTCACCAGTTTTCCTCTGCTCCTCAGCAGGGCTTAGACCCTGTGGCAGTGCCTGGGCTCAGTTCAGGGTATGCACAGGACAGGGACTGCTCCCTGGAGGTTTGGGGGAGAATGGAGCTGTACAGATGAGAGCCACGCTGGGCTGCTGGTCTTCACGGCCAGAGAGTGGGTCTGGCCTTTGCCTTTCCTACACTTCACACCTCCACAGAGCACCTTTGTCCCAGCAAAGCCTTCCATCCCCCCTGCTTCTCTCTTGGGGCCTGGCATTTTCCTGCGCATTTTCACTGGGTGATGTGCCAGTCTCAGTGGGGGGAACGGGATCCTCAAGCCTTTTGCTTGACCCTTTTTATTCACCTCTTCTTTCTTCCAGATATTCTATACAGAGCTGATGAAAGAAGCCAAAAATGGGAAGACAGTCCCAGAGGAGGTGGTGAAAATGATCTTTTCCAACATCTCCTCCATCTACCAGTTCCATGCCAAGTTCTTCCTGCCAGAGCTGCAGAAGCGCATGGAGGATTGGTGAGCTGCGGCGGGCAGGACGCCTGGGTTGCTTTGCCAGAGTGGGGGAGCAGTGATAAATTTGATCTCCCACCAGGACCATTGTTCAACTTGTTTTGGTCCAAATGTCTTTGTGCTAGAAAGCACTTCCTTAAAACACTCCAGCCCAGATCAGGGTATTTCTGAAAAGAGGGGGTGACATCTCAGGTGGTTTAGGGGTGTGCCCAGGCGTGAACGGCTGCAAGCTGGGGACGTTTCCATTCTGGAGAGCAGGAAGGTGTATGGGGATGTAGCAGATCACGGTGGTAAAAACCTCTGTCCCCCACTGTGCACAAGCCACCCCTTTGCTTTATCCCTCACTGTTTGCCCTGCTGGGCTGAGGAAGCTGCCGGTCTGCGATTCCCTCCTGCAGGAGCTGCAACCCACGGATCGGGGATGTGATCCAGAAGCTCGCACCATTCCTCAAGATGTATGGTGAATATGTGAAAAACTTCGACAAGGCCGTGGAGCTCATCACTGTCTGGTCAGAGAAATCACCACCCTTCCAGGAGCTCATTGCTGACATCCAGGTAATAAGCCACAACAAGGTGAGGGACTGCAGCAGTGCTCCCCAAAATCTCCCTGCAAGGGGGAAGCAGTGGAGGGTGGGAGCTGCCTTGGTCCCTGTTTCTCTCTGCATGTGATGTCTCTTCCAGAAGAGGAAGGTCTGTGCTAACCTAACGCTGCAGCACCACATGCTGGAACCAGTGCAGAGGATCCCACGCTACGAACTCCTTCTGAAAGATTACATCCGAAAACTACCGCCCGAGTCCCCAGACCAGGATGATGCTGAGAGTAAGGGCTCCGTCTGGCTGTCCCTGCTGTAGGGAGTGGCAGGGTGGGTTTGTGGGGGAAATAACAACCCCTAATGTTGTACACGGGAATCCAGGATACCTGGATTCTCTCACCAGCTGCCCTGTGCACACAGTCTTTTCTAGCAGAGAGAGGGGTTAATCTGCCCTTTCAGGGTCTGTGGAGGTCAGCGGGGAAGGTGGGTGGTGTTTCAGGATAAGGATGATCCCTCCAGAGCATCCTCCAGGGAGCCCTGCAGTGGCCGGGGGAGCTGTCAGATCCCTATGGATAACAGCAGTCCCCAGTCCTGCTGCGATGGAGGGATAAACACCCGGCTGTCTGTCCCCCCAGGACCCGACCGTGCCACACCACACGGGTCCAGCTGGACTCAGACTCTCGTGCAGCGTTTCAGGTCCTTTCAGGTTGTGTCCAGGGGAGGGCAGCAGCCACCACACGCTTGTTTCCCCAGTGAGGGAGAGACCCAGGGGTTTTCTCCCACAGCTCCCTAGCAAATATTTAACCTCCATCCTTTCTCTTCTCATTGCAGAGGCCCTGGAGATGATTTTTATGGTGGCCAAGCATTCAAACGCAGCTATTGCGGAGATGGTGAGCGCCTGTCCCAGCTAGCAGTGCCTTGTGGGTCACAGCACGGTGATTTGCCAGATTTCCTGATGGCCTCATTGCTGTGTGACTCAGTGGAGCACAGCCCTGCCCTGAACAGGACAGGAGCACTGTGGGTTCAGCAGAGGAGGTTAGACCCTGCTCTTGATGCCTGACCCCACCACCCCGAGCCTGGGGAAGTCGTGTCTGCATCCTCAGCCATGATGTGACCGGCTGTTTGAGGTTGTGAGCTGCTCTCAAAAATCAGTCTGAGATGAGAGGGCTGTGCCACCTCTCCCAGCACTCAGCAGCTGGCCTGGGACATGAGGACGGAGGGGACCCAAGGGTGAGAAGGTTGTGGCTGCTCAGCTCCCCATAGAAACAGGTCCCTGTGCCTCCCCCAGGAACGGCTGCAGAAACTCTGGGTGGTCTATCAGCGGCTGGGCCTGGAGGACGACATCGTGGATCCCTCCAACGAGCTGATCAAGGAAGGGCCAATCCAAAAAATCTCCACCCGCAACAACACCACATCGGAGAAGTACCTGTTCCTGGTGGGAGCTGGGATGCCCAGGGGAAGGGGCAGGGAGCAGATTGAGATGGGAGTGGGGAGAGGGGCAGCACAGCCTGGTCTCGCTGGGTCATCTCTACACAGAGGGGATGAATTCAGAGCTGGGGGGTTTGACCCCCCACCAGTGCAGGGCACTCTCTACAGGAGGTGGTTGGGAACGTGCTGATCCCCTGGGCACAGCAGCCCGTGCCACGCTGCCGCAGTGCTTTGCCCTTGCAGGGTGGGAGAGGTCTGGGGCAGCAGCAGTCACTTTTTCGGCTGGATTCTTCCCAAGGACCAGCTCAGCCCCAGGGGCATGAAGCACCCTCGAGCCCCGGGGAGCTCCCAGCTCTGAGCAGGCAGGTGCTGGGCTCCAACCCACCCTCTTCCTCCCCTCTTCCCAGTTCAACAACATGCTGCTGTACTGCGTGCCCAAGGTCATCCAGGTGGGCGCCGAGTTCCAGGTCCACCTCCGCATCAACGTGGACAGCATGAAGGTCAGACAGGCGTCTTGTCTTTGTGCTTCCCCCAGACCCCGGCTCCTCCAAAACACACCCCGCTCTGGGGTGTAATGCGGCTGCTGCCCCGCGCTTCCTTGGAAAGGAGGGAGGAGCTGGAGCCAGGGGTGGCTTTGTGGGTGAGGAGGACTGGTTGATACGCTCTGTTCCTGTGAAGTAGCAGTAAAATCTTGTGCACGTAGGGTTTGAGGGGCTGGAGGGCTTGTGTCTGAGGGCAGTCCCCCTCCCCCACATCACGGAGGAAGGTCCCTGCGTGCTGGAGGTGGGTTCAGCTGCTCCACATCCTTTCTTTGGTCTCTCTCAGGTTCGGGAGCTGAACGACGCGCAGTTCCCTCACACCTTCCTGGTCTCGGGAAAGCAGCGGACGCTGGAGCTGCAAGCCAGGTAAGGGAAAGGGTGACGGTCCTGCGGACCCTCGGGGAGGAGGGACAACAGCTTATCCATCTCCCTTTTTGTACCCAGGTCTGGGGAGGAGATGAACGCCTGGATGAAGGTACCACAGAGTGCTGGGGAGAGGCAGCACATCTTACTCACCCCAGCTGGATGCCCTGTGTCAGGGGCAGCCCCCCCAGCCGCCCCTCCAGCCCTGCCTTCCCCTCTAGGCCTTCCAAGATGCCATTGACAGGAAGGAGAAAAGGAGTGAGACCTTTAAGACAGCAGTACCTGGGCTGGAGACAGGCACCCCTGCACTGAAGGTAACCCTGCTGCCCTCCCCATGCCTTGCCTGCCTCCAGCACCCCCCCTGCACAGCAGCTCGGGAATGCTCACCTTGCTGTGCCTCGGTTTCCCTAGCTAAACAGAGCTGGGGGGAGACTGCGGACAGGGAGAAGGGCTGAGGGGGGGAAAGGGTGAGAGCAGAGGGGCTGGGACCACTCAGACCACGGCTAGTCAGCCCCAGTGATGCAGCCTCCCACCCCCAGACAGAGGAACTGGGCCGCCGAGCTCCACAGTGGGTGCGGGACAACCTGGTGACCATGTGCATGCGCTGCAGGGAGCCCTTCAACGCCATCGTGCGCCGCAGACACCACTGTCGAGCCTGTGGATACGTGAGTTGCCCCGGCCCCGCTCTCCCCCCTCCCTCCTGGCCTGCCCGGGTGGCTAGTGGGGCAGGAGCATGCCTCTCCTACACCCTGTACCCCTTTCCCCATGCTCAGGGCCGTTCCTGCCCCTCAGCTCCCCGTGGACTTGTCCCTGGGATTCCCCCAGCCCTGCCCCAGTGTCACCAGTGTCCCTGTCTGGTGGCTGTAGGTGGTGTGTGCTCGCTGCTCAGACTACAAGGCCGAGATACAGTACGATGGGAACCGCCTGAACCGTGTGTGCCAGGAGTGTTATGTCTTCCTGACGGGCCACGTGGTGCCCGAGGACCGGGAGGGGAAGCACAAAGGCATCCTGGAGGTGAGCTCTGCCCCCCCTCCGCCCGTCCTCCCCGCTTCTCTGTCCCTCTTCCCCTCAGCTCTGCCACCCACCCTGCTCCCCAGGCTCACTGGCACAGCCCGGCTGGGCACCTGCAGCAGGAGGGGTGGAACTCACTCCCGCAGCAATCAGAGGGTGGCCTGCTAATTGGGAGGCTGGTGGATGTGCTAAGCTCCCTCCCTCCTGCTCTGAGCCTTGGGATCAGGCCGCCGGGGCTCCCTCCGCCACGGAATCTCAGCAGGACCCTCACAGCCTGCCCCTCGTTTGGGGGGTTTTGTGAAGCGGACAGGGAATTCCCCAGGCAAGGACCTTCACTCAATGCCCTTTCTGTCTCCTCTGCTGTGTATTTAGGGGTTTGTTTGTTGGGTTTTTTTCGGCAGAAAGGAGCCGCAGAGGTATCAGGCAAGAGTTTGCTGTGCAGTTCCCTGCAGCTGCTGGACAAGAACGGCAAGGGGGGCACACGGGGCTGGTTTGTGATCCCACAGGATGATCCCCTCGTGCTGTACATCTATGCAGCCCCCCAGGTAAGGCTGGGCTCGGCTCCGTCTGCAAGGGACATCCCACTGTGCCCACCCCCTGCCTCCCACCGCTGTCTCCGCTCTTGGCAGGATGTCCGAGCCCACACCTCCATCCCGCTGCTGGGCTACCAGGTGAAGGACCTGCCCCAGGGTGACTCCCGCCACCTCTTCCAGCTGGCGCAGTCCCGGCAGGTCTACACCTTCGTGGCCGACACCGAGAAGCTGAAACGGCGCTGGATGAGGACCATGGCGCGCTCCGCCGCGGGGCTCAGCCACCCGGAGGAGGGCGAGGATGTGGACTCCTGTGAGGAAGCAGAATGAGGCCGTGCCCAGCTCCCGGCCTGCCCGCTGGCTCAAACCTCCCCCTGCCCATCCTGCCTTTTGCGTTTTCGTCATCAAAAGGCCGAGGCACTGCCACCTTTATCACCGCACGGACAAGCTGGATCTCCCTTCCCCTCCCACCTTTTTCTCCACACTGGACAGAGACGATGGAGGTCCCGGAGCCGTGAGGTAGAGGGAGAACAGGGGGGGGTTTGGGGAGCCTGCGCCCCTGCAGCCAGGCTGTCCCCAGCCCGCTGTGCCGTGCCGGCGGCTGCCGCCCGAGGGCAGCAATGGCTCAGCCTTCCTCCGAGCCTGGCCCCGGCAGGGGATGGTGCTGGGGGGATGCCCGGTCTTGCGAAAACATCTGTGGAATTGGGACTGCTGTGATAAATCCTACCTGCAACCCTCCCTGTGCGCAGTTCCGAGGAGCCTTTTTTGGGGAGTGTGTTTTCCAGAGCGCCCTTGGGGATTGTCACCGGGGCCCCACGTCGCCTCATCTGTAACCAGCCCGGGTCTGACCCCCTGCAGAGATGCCCTCGCCCGGCTCAGGGACCCTAGTGCTGGCTTTAGGATGTCCCTCTCCCAGCCTGTCACCTCTCCTGTCACATCTCACACTGCTGCAATCCCCCGGTGCAGGGGTACCCCTTAGCCACAGACTCCCCCCAACCCGCATCCATCCCCACGCCAGCCTGCACTCCTGCCCACCCCAGACTTTTCCCTGCACCTTCCCCCCCCTTGCACCTCAGGGTGGGAAATGCTCTGGGGACGCGGCCGGGGTCCGCACGGGCGGTGCTGCTGTGCTGAGGCAGGGCAGTTCCCCGTCGCCAGCGTAACCACCACCCCTGGTCATTTCACCCACCACTGCAGGCTGCAGCCCCGCGTTTCTCCCTCTGCTTCCTCTTCAGCTCCCCCAAAATATTGCCACTTGTAAGCTGTAGTTTGGGGGAGCCCCGATGCAGGGAGCTGGGGGAGCCCGCTGCCCCGGGCAGGCAGGGATTGCTGCTCCAGCCCGAAGCCCAGCAGCCCCGGGGGGGGGGTGTGTCACAGCCTGAACGGATCCGTGGAGAGCGGGAAGGGACGCGAGGTGGGGCCTGATACTGCACAGGAGGACAGCACTCAGGGCTGGGGTCAGGAGTGGAGATGAACCATAGCTGCCACAGCTCTGGGGGGGCTTCGGGGAGCCGGGAGAAAGCTGTGAGCATTGTCCTCCCCCCTCAGCCCATCCCGGGAAAGGGGCGAACTGCGGTGGCTTTGTCTCCTCCAACTTAAGAGATACCATCAGGGAAGAGGGAGAGAAGCTGCTTTTGAGGGGAGAGCTCTGCCAAAGCAATTCCCCCCTCGGGGTGCCACCCAGCATGGAGCCCGGAAGCAAACAGCATGGGGGGGGCTTTCCAGAGACACCCCAAAAACTGCCCTCACCTCCCACCACCGTTGCCTCATGCGAAGGGGAAACCCCAGCACCCCTGGGAAAGCTGGAGAGCGCAGGGTGCTGCTGGGGAGAGCGGGGGGGAGGGGGGGGGAAGAGCGAGCAAAGGGGAAGCCCGCGGGGCTGGAAGGTTTTGCGTGGTGGCCTGTCACCCTGGCGTCACCCCGGTGTCAGCGAGGAACAAAACAAGCCGGGAGCTGCCGTCAGCCCCGCGGCTCCTCGGCTGGTGAATGGGCCTAAGAATAGATTTCCTGTTTACCCAATGAGAAATTGCTTCTGGGGCAGAGGGCACCTGGGTGCTATTTTTACCAGCTCCTGCCCACCCCGTCTCGGCCCCTCAGGGACCACCGCCCCGCGTGCCGTGGGGAAGGGAGGAGAGGGGGCCGAGGGGTGGGTGGGGCAGGTCCCCAAACACAGACCCAGCATCACTCAGCTGCCCCCCAGCCCGAAACAAACCAGTGGGAGACCTAACTCGCAGGAGGGTTTCATGATTCCCCCACTCTACTTTCCCATATATATATATATTAAAAAAAAAAAAAAAAAAAGACATTTTTACACCCAAGATGTGCAGCAAACAAACTGATGAATTTTCTCTTCCCGTGCTGTTTTTGGTCCCCGGACTGCGTCGCAGCGATGGTCAAGGGAGGAGTTTGGCCTCTCGCCTCCCCGCACAGAAAGCGAAACCCCGTGGAGAAGTCGCGCAGTTTCCTATTCTCAAGAATGAGGAAGGCTTGGAGGCCATTTACTGGAATCCCCCCCCCCCCCGCCCGCAGCCCTCCCCGCGGCCTCTTCTTGTAAGCACTGACCAAAATACATTGTGAAACCCCGCGGCTTCGCGGGGGGCCGGGCCACCCCTCATTGAGAAAACCCAGCTGGCGGCAAAGGTTTTGTTGCCCCGCGCTCATCCCAGACCCCGGCCGGGTACCGCACCCCCGTCGGCGCTGCGGGAAGGGGGATGCCGAGAGGTTCAAGGGCGCGGGGCGAGCCGAGAGGTGGCCGGCAGGGACCTGGAGAATTAAGGGGTGCAGTGTGGTTCCCCCCCACCCCCGCGCCCCGCTGCGGGGCTCTGCGAGGTGCAAGCTCCCCCCCTGCTCCCCAGGAAGGGATTTAGCAGGTCTTGGGCCCCCCCCCCCCCCCTCCCCGAGGTGTGGGGTGGGATTGGGACCATATGGGCCCTATAAGCCCCGCGCACCCATAACCTGCAGGGCTGCTCTCTGCCCTGGGAGCCACTCTGTGGGGCGGGGGCTCTCGCTCTATAGGGACAATCTCTATACATACCCTTCCCCCTCTATAGGGACCGCTCTACCGGGCGTGTTCTCCTCTTTCTTAATTGCAGGTCCCTATAGGGACTGCAGTCTGCAGTGTGAGATGGGGTTTTCTGCTCTGTAGGGACTGGGCTCTAGGGAACGGCATCACTGGGGCAACAGCTCTTGCTCTATGGGGTCGGGTTGTATAGGAGTTGGGCTCCATAGGGCCCAGCCCTCTGCAGCAGGGACTTTTGCTTTATAGGTACTGGGTTCTATAGGTGTGGGGCTCCACAGGTGCGTTCCCCTGCCCTATAGGGGCCGTGACCCACAGGGGCCCCGAGCCGGCGCTGGGGCTGCGGCAGCATCGGCCTCTCCCCGCAGCGCAGCCTCCGCAGCCCCCCGGGGGTTTCCACCGCGCCCGCCGAGCTCTTTAAATCATAAATCTGCCGAGGGCGAAGGCAGCGGCGGCGGAGCCCTGCCCTGGTGCATCCCTCCCCGCCGCGCCCCGGGGCTGCGGGGGCACCCCCCTGGTTGGGGGGATTTAAGGATGGGAGAGGATGCTAAATGATGCAAAATAGCTGTGCTCCAAAAAAAAAAAAAAAAAAAAAAGCCAGGATTGTGCAGCCTTAGGGCTGGGGTACCTCCATCCTGCTCTGCATCTCCCCCAAAGCCCCTGGGGAACAATGCAAAGCAGGAGGGGAACCCCAGGATTCACCACACACACCCCCCTTTGCATTGCACTGGCAAGACCTCGCTGCCGGGGTGTCCCCAGGCCCAGGGGAGCTTTGAGGGGGCGGGTTGCAGCTTCCACCTCCTTTTCGGGGGCCCCCACAGGCTGCTGGCAAAGGGCGTTTCGTGCAATTGAGAACCAGGTCGTGCATCTCGGCGTCTGGCGAGGCGGGAGGTGTTTCCCGGTGGCGCAGGAATTTGCTGTTTGCGCCTGTGTTGCAGGAGGCAGGGGGAAGGAAGGAGGGGAAAGGGGGGGGGGGGGGGGGGGGGGGGGGGGGGGGCTGGCTGTTGTTATTATTTAATTTTATTTTCCTGCCTCCATCCAGGAATCTCTGCAATGTGCCGGCTGCTCCCTGGGAGGCTGGGGCGGCCGTGAGTCACTGCTGCCGCTGGAACGTGACTCAGTCCTGCTGCTCTCCCCGGCAGGACATGACCAGACTGCCAAAGCCGGGGAGAAGCCCCAGCACCGCCGCCTGCCCGCGCCGGCGGGCGAGGATGCGCGAAATCCCCCCGGAGAGCTCAGCCCCCGGCTTCCCGCAGCGATATCAGCCCATCGCCGTGGGGCAGAGCTCAGGATAGGGGGCAGAATGGGCTCTTCTATTTATTTTTATTTATTTTTCTCTCTTTATTCTTTTTTTTTTTTTTTTTTTTTTTTTCTCCCCAGCCAGGAAAACCCTCTCCACCCACTCTGGCTCACCCACCCATGGGTTGCCATCGGGCTGTGGGCGCCTCCCCGGGGTTTTGCTGCCCCAACTTCCAGGCCAGGCCCTATAGAGGAGCAGGGAAAGCTCCTGGCACTGCTCCCGCCCCAGTTCCCGTGCCTCAGTTTCCCCATCCGGCTGGCAGCAGAGATTTCCCCGTCTAGGGAGCAGGGTTACTCCAGGCTGTGCTTTGAGGTCGGTGAATAGCAGCTACAGGGGGTTATTATTAATATTAATAGCCAGGCTCTGTCAGGGCTCAGGTGGCAGGGAGGGACGGGGCGGGGGGGGACGTGAAGCAGCTCTGAGTCACGGGGCAGGAGCAAGGGGTGGCCCAGCCCCGTGCTGAGCCCCGACACACTCGCTGCACCCCAGGCCTGCGACAGCCAGGGGCTGAGGCCGCCCCCGCTCATCTCGCCCAGGGCTGGATGACGCCGGGCACGAGCCCTCCTCATCCTCACCTCGCTGCTGCTTGGGGACACGGGCAGCGGCGGCGGCCCCGGGGGCAGAGCTGAGCACTGGGACTGCTCGTCACACCTCAGGCCGCGCCGTGCCTCCGCGGCCGCAGCTGCCTCTGTCAGCCGTGATTGAAAGCCAAGCCGGGCTGGCAGGCCTTCTCTGTGATCTTGTTAATTAAGAAATACATTTAATTAGCAGCACCCCAGCTGTGACTCAGCTAATCATCATGATCGAAACAAGAGCCGGACTCCAGCGCCCGAGCAGGGCAGCACCAGACACCCCCCCCCCCCCCCGAGCCCCCAGATCCGCCGTGGGACCCCGGCGCCTGCCAGGCACAGCCTGATGCCCCCCTGGGGTTTTGGGGTGAGTTTCCCCCCCCAGCTGGAGGCAGGTTGGGTCCGAGACTGTCCCCACTTCACACACGCAGGGTGTCATCCCCACTCGGGGCAATTACCCATTGCCACGCTGCGAATAATCATATTAATAACTCATTTACCATGCTATAAATAGCCGCGATAATAACAGCCTGGGCTTTCCAGGAATAGTTTGTCAAAAATGCAGGGAAAGCCATTCCCCTCCAGCCGGGGTTGCAGATGGGGAAACTGAGGCACGGCTGGTTTCGGGCACGACTCTCACCCGCTGCACCAAGCCGTCTGCCAGGCAGCTGTGGAATTTGCTCCCGAATAAACCGTCATGTAAATGAGCCCTTATGTATATTTATAGGCGCTGTCCTGCCAGCTGGAATCTAATAGGGGAGAAAATAAACTGGGAAACTGCCTGGAACGGGAGGGCGGCGCTTCACACCTTGGCCCCACGCTCCGCTGGCACTGCTGGGGATGGGTGTCTGTC